CGCGGACGATGCGGCTGCACCACCCTGCACGTACGTCGCTCCCGTTCCTATCGTCCTCGGAGATACCGGGCTACTGCTCTTGATGTTGACATAATTTTGCGTCGGTCTGCAATGATCATAAAATTTCATTAAATTTTCAGCAGAGAAAAAGAAATTTGTGAAACTAAAATTACATAATTGAGATGCAATATTAAGAGCAACAAAACTATTTTTTGTCATTAAATTGTCAGATACAATTAAATGCTCTATTAAATTTATAAATGCACTGATAATCATAAATTCGACCACCAATTATTTATTTGTTAACTATTATATTATATCACTACACGGAGAAAATTTTTTTTTAATTACCCTGAAAATATGGTAGTGTGGTACAATACAATATTAAAAAAATTTTTATTATGCAGTTTATTCAGTAAAATTAATCAAACTTATTTTATGTTTTATTATAGTTTTATTAATGAATGAGAGAAATTTACATAAAATTCTTTAAAATACAATATTGTCCCATTACTACTACCATATTTTCAGAGTAAATTCTAAGAAAAAATTCTCTCCGTGTACAATTCGATTTTCTATTGTATTATTTAACAATTATCATTAATAACAAAAAATAAAAAGTATAAATATGAAAGTACAAGATAAAACGAAACACATATAAGTTTATACTGCGATAGTGAGCACAGTTTATGAACTCAAGTTTTCTAATGTAATAGATGAGCTGATATGAGCATATATTTTGTAGTTGACAACTAAAGATAGTTAAGCATCGATAATATCGTCACATCTGAAAGTCATGTTGCAACTTCTTTTACGTTAAAAACGATGACGTTATCGTGATCTTTAATATACAAGTTGCAGCAGCGAAAGAAAATCTAGTTGTATAGCGATAGAGCACCTTATCGATATTATTAATCATTTGGCAACCTGATTTAAATAACTTACATTATATTATATATAATTATATATATATGTACTGTTACAATAACAAATTCTGCATGTTACATTTGATGAAAGCCTTTCTCGATAATTTTCAATATTATTAAATGTAACATTTGCAGAAAATGGAAGTAGTATAATATAAATATTAAATGATTGAAACTACATATCAGTAAAATGTATCATTCATATATTAGTCATTCGATGAGCTTGTTGCAGCAGAAGCGTCGTAGCGGTTTGTTTATCGGCTCATGTGTCAGTGGCACACGTCATACACACGGCTGATCCAATTTGAATAGCTTAGAAGAAAAAGAAAACTGTCAAGCAACGACGATTGACAATGGCCTAAACAACTTTATACCGATCGATGTCCATCGGTCTTTTTTACCTCTATCCAATCACGATTCCATCAAAGTTTCTAATTCTCTTTCCGAAGGCCACCATTCTGTAATCCGGAACGTTAAAACGAAGACTATTTCTCGAATCCGACCGAACATTTCACTGATTAATTTTTAAAAGGCAACGTTCTCTCTCTCTCTCTCTCTCTCTCTCTCTCTCTAATTTAACGATATTGAATAACTCATACACAGTTCCAAAAAGCGCCCTATACTCAATGCACTTTTATGAATTGTTATACCTTTTCTTTTGCAGATGTTATCGACGTAAAAGTAAAAAGTATACAAGCGATAACAAAAACTCAAATCCGTTATATTAATGAGCTGCCCGAAACCTGCGGAATGACTCTGAAGTGAATAAATAAAATTTAACGTCGATGCTCCGAGCAATGGAGTCAATTTAACGTGGTTTTGTTTGTATCATCTCCATTGCTGAATTTTTCGACATTAAAAACGCAAATTGGAAAATTGCTCGTTTTTTATTGCTCACTTGATAACTACTTTTGCTAAAAAAAAAGATCAATTGAAATGATACTCACGAGTTTGATAACCCAACGTTTCAGTACTAAACTTTGTGTATTGACATTCGCGTTCATACTGTTTCGTCACGATTTTCTAATAACTGCGAACTAAAATCGTATCACTACCTATCTCTTTAAACGACCATTGCAAACAGCTGCCGATGAAAAAAAAGGAGCGAAAGAGAGAAACAGAAACGGAATCGTGACAATAATTAAAATACAATGACAATAATTAGAATACACGCTTTTAGTTTATTTTGGCTGATGACGATTGTAACATGATTCTCGCTGGTTCATTATCTCGTTCGATGCTCACGCGGATAACAGTACTCTTCGATGGGATTTCTCGGGAATATCGCATATCTCGTTGAACCAGTCAATAACGATGTCGAGTACAAAGTTGTAAGCACAAGCAAATTAAAAAAATTATTAAGTCCAAAGCAGGTAAAATTCTGAGAATATATAATTACAATGTAATAATAGAAAAAGAACGTGTTAGAATTCGAAAAGAATTTAAAAAGTATTCGAAAATATATGTACTCTTATACAGGGTCGTCACAAATTCCTCATCTTAAAATTCTATAATTTTTTCCTGATATCCAAACATTTCATAATTTCCTCTGATGCTTCCGATACTTTGGAATTTTTTGTATTGTTATCCTAATTTGGAAACCGTCAAATATTTTGTTAAGAGAGATTTAACATAGTGATTTAGCAATGTGAAATTAATGTTGCTGACATTGTTTTAATTGTTAAATTAGTAGTATACCAAAAGTATGTAAGTGTGATGTACGCATATTAAACTTCTTTAAAACAAAAAATTTTAATTTTCCAGAAAATTTTGTAAAATTTCCTGATTTTTTTCTGATTTTCCTGATTTCAAATTTTATAGTATACATTACATTATATTTTATTTTTAATTATACTGTATATTATTGACACTTATATCGAGAAACTCTATGTGTACCTTTCGAGACAATAACGCTAAAACACATTTAAAAAAAGATAGAACACAGTCGAGTCTTCGTTAAGGAAAAATCAACTACAATTAACGAGCAAATCGATAGATCCAGTTAACTCGGAATAAAAAATGTGATTGCAAAAATTGCAATTTCTCTACTTCGGTTTGCCTCGCCACGCCAGGGGGTTATTAATTTAATTGAATTAATTAGTAATCCTGACGGAATCGAGCGCCAAGTATTAAATGCGATCGATACTGAATGGAGTATCGATACTATAGAAAAAAAAAAACATTGTCCACTTTGCTAAGTGTGAGTTCCATAACAAGCGACGCATCATTAATCAGACAAGTGTCAAATGTCGACAAAAAAATTATATTTAGTAATGTTCGTATTATTAAAATAACGTAAAATTTAAAAAAGCTAAGCTAGGATATAAAAGTTTTTTTTTAATATCAGTAGTATTGTTAAATTCAGACAGATTATTCTCTCCCTGGCTAAAATTTACGCCACAAATCGTGGCAAGTCTCGTGGAAAATTTCTTGCTATTGTTTGCTTTATATAAATAATGCAGCGTTATCCATATAATGACGTTTTATCAAGTTTCGCTAAGGAGAAAGAGATTACGAATTCGAATCCATCATTGATACATTTCGGATAAAATACCCAGTAGAGAGAATGTTATATTTTCTTGAACGATTCAAACTCTCTTCTTATCGGTCTCGTGGGCGCAAATAAATGATATTCACGTCTAGCAACAACCTCGCTCCTGACATCTCTCTTTCTCGTATGTATCTCAATCCCGAAGGTTTCCATCGATCGCACCCGGCAAAAGCGAGTCGTCGCCCCCGACCCGCGGCAATTACCGCGAGAAATTATTGACATCCACGGCCGATATGGCAGGGCGGTTCCTCCAATTTTCTCACGACCAAAGATTTATCTTGGTTTATCTTGATCCATATGGATTTCTTAATATTACATTTTCCCAATATTTGCTAAAAATGTCTTGAAAATGGAGTAAATTTGCTTGAAAAAGTTGCAAAATTTTTATCAAATATGAATATAATCATACATCGACTTTTTCCGTTGAATAATAGATATTAGGGAGTTTTTGCAATAAGGCGAATCCAGATACGGTGAAAGTCACGTTATCCTTTTCTTAATTAGTTGTTAAAAAGAAGTTAACCTGACCTTAGCGTTCACCGTATCTGGATAAACGGTATTATCAAAATTTTCAATTTTTTATAATTCTACGCGAAATGGAACGCGCTAAGAGATTTGTCAAACGCAATTCCACTTTACTAGACCAATTAAGACTAAACCTGCTGAATTATTTCAGTTACCACCATTGTATACGCGATCCATGTTCTGCCAGCGTCGGGTGTGCACCCTCCATAGCCGTCAGAATGTCGTCTCGCGAGAGTGTTTCGATTTTGCAAACGCATAGTCGTTCAAAATTGGATCTAGGTGAAAAGGAAAAGACCCGACATGACGCGTGAAATAAGCCGACGAAAAGAAAGGATGGACGAGGTTGGAGTAAAGGAAACGAGGAGGAAGTGGCCGTATGGAAAAAGGAGCGTAAAGAGAAGGCGAGAACCGAAGAAGAAATTATGGGGTACCCGTGCCGTGTGGCCGAACGTGCCGACCAATCGCGTGACGCGTCGAAAATACGATTCGCGCCGGAATAGTTGCCATTGGCGTTCCGCGCGGCAAAGTACTCGGACGGCAGCGACATTTCGGCGGCGCGGCGGTGCGCCACGCCACACGTGGCAGAATCGGCTGCGCATGCGCAGACGGCGTCAGCGCTTCAACGAGGGGGAGGGCGCTCGCGCGCAGTTCCGCGTGTCGGTGAGCCGACTGCCGTCTGCCGACGCGACGTCGAGTGAGCACTGCGCAGGCGCGCTGCACCCGCCAAGAAGGGTGAATGCGCCTGCTGTGAGTGCTGCTTGCCTCTCGAGAACGCGGTGTTGCCGTCGCGTCGCCCTGCAGGTCTCGACACTGTTGCCGAACCGTGCTGGACCCCGACAAACACCGAGGCCGGGAGACTCTCCCGCCCGCGCGCTGCTACTTCAGCTACTCGCTAACGGATTACGGTGGAAGGTTAATCGGTGACGGACGAGAGTTCGTTGTTCAACCGCGATTGCCGCTATTTCTTTTTTCTATCCTTTTTTCCCCCCCTCCACCCCTCCTCTCTATAACGAGGCAAAACCGAAGATAGATGAGGTCCTCGTTCGGCTTCTCAGGGGCACACGCACACACTTTCTGTTTTTCAAAGAAATCCGTATCGCGAAA